AAACACACACAAACACACACAGACACACAAACACAAACACACACACACACATTTGAATGCAGGTCTAGTTCAGCACATTCCTTCTGTTCAAACACACATCTCTCTCTCTCTCTCTCTCTCTCTCTCTCTCTCTCTCTCTCTCTCTCTCTCTCTCTCTCTCGAGATCAATTCATCTTTTCAAATTAAATAGTTTTCATTTATTTGACTTCATCATCGACAAAAAGATTTACACAAACATTTAAGAAAATAAATTACCAAATACTTTCACTGTTAAAAAACGACAGTGGTTTCTGGATCTGCAGCCATAAAACTGAAACACATAATATATAAATACAACAATTCAGATTTACTACGATCTGATCCTGCAGCTCCGCGGTTCAAGGGAAAAATAAACTGTACAGAGAAAAACATGAAGCGCAAAATAAAGACGAGAGTCCAACGTATCCTTCAGAAATGTTTTTGGATCCATCAGTCGGAGGAAACTTTTAAAAATCTACAGAGAGATTTTAAAAAACTGACCCTGATGAAAATCTTCCTCCATCGTTAAAATCCTTTCTCACATTCTTCTTGAAAAAGTGAAACAATGATTCTGTTCATTCCTGAAAATGTTTTGTCTCTGAGACGATGTTTGGTTCTTCATCACGTGTGTCGGCTCCATCGAGACAGAACCACGGTTCAGTTTGATCCAGAACCAGAACACCTCTTCTGGTCGGACTGGATCTGGATCGTGGTCCGAGGAACCTTTCACACCTGATCCAGACTAAAGTGAAGAGAATGTGTGACGGAGATCGTTCATCAGTTCACCGATGTTTGTTCAAGTGGAAACTTCAGATTTGAGTTTTGCAAAGTTGGAATTCAAAGAAGCGTCACAGCCGGAGGAGTTTCTCCAGAGGCAGGTGTTTGTCCCGGCCAATCAGATGCTGCATCTGGATTTCGTTTGCTCTGCGTGACACCTTCAGTGCGATCGGTTGAGCAGGAGAAGATTCTCAGTTTAGTTCCGTCTTCCTGTTGTGACATCAGCGTTTAGCTTTCGTCCGGTAGCGTGGGAGCAGCAGACGTCTGAAAGTCGTAGAAACAGTCTTCGTTGATCATGGACGTCATGCTGTGAACACTGAAGTCTCTCTCCAATAGGTCCAACACGTCTGCTCCGGGGCGTCGCTGCACACTGGAGCTCCGCCTCTTCTCTGCGGGCCTCCGGTCTGCGCTCGCAGTCGTCGCTCGTCCCTCCTCCTCCTCCTCGGTGAAGTTCAGTCTCTGCAGCTGCGCCTCCAGCTCGCTGGTCAGCGAGAACAGTCTGGTCCTCTTCGCCGCAGAGTCGGACGCGGCGTGGCTGGGAAGCAACGGCTCCGAGCAGGTTTCTCCCAGGATGAACCTGCTCTCCTCCGGCTGCCGATGATGAGTCGTCCTCTGGGCGTCAGCGCGACTCCTCTGCTGCCTCCTCCTCCAGGAGCTGCTCCTCTCAGCCGTCGACAGCCTGGACCTCCTCAGCGAGCCGGCCGGCGCCCGGTCTCTGAGGAGGGAGGACAGGGCTCGCAGGACGCTCGCCTTCGTCTCCAAACCACTGAAACAACACGAGGTCAGATCTGATCTCAGAGCAGCTGACACACTTTGAAGTGACTTTCATCATCATCATCATCATCATCAGTCTGCCTGTGATCTTCTGTGTTTACCTGCTGCAGAGCTGAAACACCGTCTCCGGTCGTCCCTCCACCTCCGACCGGCTGTGAACCAGCTCCCACACACACGGGTTCTCTGAGCCTGTGAACACACCACAGTCTGTCAGCTGCAGCACAGCGCCACCTGCTGGAGGACGGACACAGAGGGTTCCACTGACCTGTGATGTTGGCTGGTCTGACCTGAACCGCCGACACTGGGATTAACCAGCGGAACCTGAAGGGGTCGTGATCAGCTGAGCGGGAGCTCATCTGTGAAAAGTAAACAAACGTCATCTCATCCATTCACTCGACCTTTATGAATGAGGGGTGTTGTAACAACCTGACCACTAGGTGTCACTAAACACAACACAGCGGACTCACCTTCCTCTTCTTCAGTTTGTTGTTGTCTCGATAAACCAGGACGACGGCTCGTCTGAACACTGACGAAGAAAAACACACAATCGATCTGAGGACGCACAACTTTTCACACCTGGTTTGTTTCAGACTTTTCAGTGTCGATGCTAAAGTTTAGTCCAACAGAGGAAGAGTGTGTTGTGTTGTGTTGTGTGTT